AAAAAGCTTTTTTTATATTTTTATGCAATTTTCCGGATGTTTCAAAACTCTTCTTTTTAACAGAACATGTGTTTAAGTTTTTGGCAGTCATTGATAGAGATCGACACGTTACGGTTTGTGGGTGGTTTACAAATTCACGTCAATTTTATAATGGGTAATTGTTACTTATTTGATGTTTATACTGCAGAAAAATCCGATAGGTTGCGAAGATTTCTCCCCGATAAATTTTGAGACGTTGTCATGTTATGTTTTTACTACTGAAACTTAAGCCTGAAACTGAAAACTAATGTAGAAATGAAAAGTGAAACGATAATATAACATTTTGGCAGCTCGTACTGTTAAGTGTCCGTCAGATGCAAGACGTATGTTCTATTTTACATGTATCAATATCATCAATAGCAAAGTTATTTATAAAAAATACAATATTGTATGTATAAATTATTTTTTGACCGTCGATGTTTCATCAGGGAACGTCGGTGATTCTACTCAGGTGCCCATCTGTGCCTAAAATAGAACTTTAGATCTATCTCTACCAGCAAAGCTGGAAAGACGCCTTGACTTAATGTCTAATACATATTGTTTTGTAAATAATGCCGTTCATTACAAAAAAGAAACCATTTCAGGTGTTAGAGTTAGCAAATACTTGTTAACTGAAGAAGTATTTATGTTTAACAGAACAGAACATAATTTAATTATATTTTATTTTGAATTAAGCATATACATATCATCTTCATATATAACAATATATACATGCATGAATATGAAAAATGGTAATAAATTTTTGAGAGTGTAATACAACACATGTAATATATACAATTTTTACAAAACTTTAAACATTACAACAGAAAAGTCTTATATATTACTCAGCATTCAATGAACCAAATCTTAATTTAAATATTTTTTAATATAATGTTGTATATAATAACTTTTGTTGTTGTTTTTTTTTGTCTTTGTACGCATTAATTTAAATGTGTATAGGTTCGAATAAAACCTTTTTGGCATTCGCATTCATGCAATCGCCGGTGCGGGGTGAGGTGCGCCGTATTTTATTAATTTTTTATCATTATAATGTTTTTATTTATTTTATTTTTGGGTTGAAGGAGCTGGGTATTGTGCAGGTACATGTATTGTACTAGTGTTTTCGTTACTTTTATGAAACTTTTAACTTTCTTTCAGGTGTCAAATAAATATTCATATACATGTATTTCTATGTCAAACTCCTTTATGACAGAGTGTAAAATACTGGATATATCAATCGTCGGCTTCATTTTTTGAAACTGCTCTTATCATTTTGAACAACAAGTTAAAAAGATAAATTTATAAAAGATAAATAAAAAGTTAGAAAAGATAAATAAGTCAGCCAACATTAAAGGCATGGATGTGAGGCTAGCCTTGTTCCATATTGATGACGAAGGTTTTAAAGGTCGGTAATGTCAATGCAAATGGCACACTAATCAAGATAAATCTCATTCACGTCTTCTTCACACTGTAATTTAAATGTCCGATCCCCTTTAAAAATTAAATTTTTATAAGTTCCGCTTTTTGTGTTCTTGTTTGGGCCCACATATTCTTTTATTTTTACCGACCATGCGCTGCTTTTCATGTAAGAACACGAACGAGTCACATTCACCGCCGTATGAACACATCTGCGAATGCGTACAAAACACAAAATATTATCATGTGTTGTATCAATGGTGAATACTGCTTAAGCCGGTGCTATGGGGCGTTGACGAAAGCTTGCATTTCCCAATACCGCAAATGAACAGATTCAATGAAATCGAGTTTGCGACATTTTCAAGGAATTCATTTCCTTGATTTTACTGTAGGAAAAAGTACTTAAGACTGTTTTATGAGACTGCATACAGTATTTGACACCGATAAATGAGTCGCATCATGACAAAACCAACATAGTGGGTTTGCGACCAGCATGGATACAGACCAATCCGCGCAGTCTGATCAGAGTTGGTAAGCGAACAGCATGGATCCTGATCAGACTGCGCGGATGCGAACAGCATGGATCCTGATCAGACTGCGCGGATGCGCAGGCTGGTCTGGATCTATGCTGGTCGCAAACCCATTATGTTGGTTTTGTCGTGACGCGGCTCAAATGTCTTCTGGCATTATTGCCGAAATAGGGAGTTATTGTATACATATATCTAGAGATGTTTGATGAAAAAGTAAGCAGTTTAAAGAACATTGAAGATATGACAGATGGGTTAATATAAGGACAAACCTATTCATCATTACTTTCATAATCATATATGTATTAATTAGAGAATAATGGAAGTTCATACTACATTCTATATCCTAGGGAAGAAAATAAGTAATAAAATATTATTTTGAATGTTGGATAGAAAACGAAGCATTTTAAAAAAGGAAATGACATATCAGAAATGAATGAACAATATATATTAAGGGGATGTTTTTCTTAACAATTTATACCAAACAAAATTCATTTGGATATTTCGATTGTTTATACATGTATTATTTGTTTGACTTTTCAGTACTGTCCATGAACAGGCTCATATTTTGTCGTCTTGGACGTTCCATAAGAATTTCGTTTTTCTTTATTCAAAATATGATTTTAACACCTTTGCTAACCACGAACAAACCTTTCTTTTGATGGCATCAAACATATTGTGAGCACATTGTTGTGGAAGAAATGTATTCATAATTCATAATCATTAAATCAGACCTTGTTACATTACTTTTCAAAATTACTGTACTCAAAGATTAATAATTTCACCCCGGATTGTCCCGGACCATCCCAGTAACTTACCGGGGTGGTCCTGGGCTCTGCCGGTAGTAAATGAGGTTGCAGCTTAAACAGAAGTTAGCAGTTAAACATATGTTGACCATGTCGGTTTTTTAAATATTTTCAGTCTACATTGTTTTCCTTTTCGTTTTTCCGAAAGCCATGAAAGGTTTACACAGATTCAGGCACTGCAGCGCGGACTTACCAATTTCCTTTGGTGAAGGTTAATAAGAAAACACCTATGTTGTATAACAGACTCGATGTCTTTGGTTATTTCACTTATAAAACCGAGAACTTTGGATTTTTCAAGAGCCTAATAATTTTTGATTGATCTTTGATTTAATTATTTATCAAAAACCACTCACCGCTTGCAAATCAATACTAATTCTTTATAAAACAATTAAATACTTTATACATTTACATACTACATGAGTATTTCTCAAATCCATGCACAATAACATTTTAACATTTCTTATCGGTATTTTATCCGAAGTTGAAATTATTAAAGACTTTTAAAAGACATATGTACACTGTTTGTGAATATAAGTTCAACAACGAAATACCCATACATTTGAGAAATTAAATCACATCAGGCAAATGTCAAAATAAGGTGTCTTATTGAATAGAACATTTTTCTTTTACAACAAATATTTAAATATTTCAAAACTTGTATGATTTGAATTATGTCTAAATGAAATATTTCAGCAAATATTACGTCTTTACTTAGAATTATGCAAAAGAGTTTGGGCTTATTTCTACATGTTTGCTTTAAATCAGCATGCCTCCAGATTTACGCTAATGAAAATTTTGAAAATGTATATGAAAGTAAAATATTGTGAAGAGAACAAAGAAAGTAATCTATACATTGCTAATTGCACTTTCAATCCACGTAAATTGTCAATAAGAGATGTCAAAATGTGCAAAAACAGCCCTTACTGCGATAGTCATGCAGTAGAATTATGGTGAAAATATTGCAAATCAGTCATTAGTGGCACATTACATGAAAATTGTTACTTAAATCTTGATGGGGATTTTTACTTGTCTTAAAATCTTAATATACTTTTCTTCTCAAGTTTGATTTTCTTGAAATACTTTGGCTCATCTGGCGGCATGCAGCTTTTAATTAAGTTTAACTTTGTCTTTGTCTTTATATACATTTCTTCTATCTCTGACAATAGCATGGTGTTTCGTTTATTTAATCAAACAATTATTTTCTCTACTCATTCTTTATTTACCATGCTAGTAACTTTGCTTAATTTAATATTATTTTAACATCAGGGTGGATAACTCCAAACATGCATTGTCAGTGATATGTTAACTAGAAGAATAGAATAGTGTGACATCGCGCAAATCTTGAAGAAAAGCGGTTTATTTCCTTTTTAATATGCTTTATAATTCATTCATGCGTAGTGCTCTTCATCGGTGATATATACATAGGTAAACAATGCATACTATTTACTTTAAAAAATATCACTTTTAACAAAGTCATAATAAGTAGTCATTCATATTTTAAATGTAAATGATATATGTGTACATTTGTTTTTACAGTTTCCAGAAAACAAACAATTTTACTCATGTTGTGATTAGAATATTAGTAACATTTTGAAAACACTAGAGTTAAGAGAGGTGAATATGTTGAATTCAAATTCTTTTTTTATTATTTCAATTACAAATTAACCATCCGAAAATAAATCTCGGTATTGTTTTAAGGAATATCAAATATCGAATTAATTAAAATATAATTAATGAAACAAATCTGTTTCATAAACGATCGTGACACAAAACAGCAGGCTTTCCCAAATTATTTGAATATCTTCCCTTTTTCTTCAATTTTTTCGATTCAATTAATCACAAGTTGAATAGAATTTAACAAAATGAAATATCTAAAAATATTCAACTTTGCTCGTTCAGCCTCTGTGCGCAACGTCGTTCAATTCTGTTTACTTCTGATTAGCATTTCATGTCGAACAAACTGTTTTCACTCTCTAGCACGGTTTAGAATAATTTCCTACCCACAAGCAACACGGATCAAACAAACGTTCCAAAGATTTTTATCCATGCTTAATTGAAAATAAAATCCGTCCCATTCACGATGTTCTATCCAATATGGCGGCACTTGACTGGTTTGTGAAACACAGACTGGTCCGCCTACCGGTTATCTGGTTCGCTCATCATCCAATAGGCGCTCGACAAGGCGTGTGGCAAATCGTGAGCGTAGAAAATAACTAGATAGTAACATATGATACAAAAGATTTTGTATAATAAGGTGTAGATATTTGTGTATTAAGTTTTCGCCGTGTTAAACAACCAGTAAACAAGATACGGGTTGTAGTCCGGTGAAACTTGACAGCGGCGTAGGGTTCGAGTATAGAAAGCGGACATTCCTAAATTTTTTAATAACAAAAATAAGAAATATAAGTAAATGAACGTTAAAGTGTATATTCTTTGGATTTAACTCGCGAAGTAATCTAACCTGATATGTAGCTGATATTTAAGATAACATTTAACTGGAAAATAAGATAGATTTTTATTTTAAAAAAATAGTTCGGACTTGAAATGTCTTTTAGTCAACCAGGATATAGACTGTCTCCATCATCGCCAGCTGTCACCAAGGTAAAAAGAAATATAATATAATTCTGAATGAAATTTGCAATTCGTCGGTATTGAAAATAGAACACTTAAAGTATCAACTTTAAATTATCTCTTTATATATTTTATTTCTGCAGTTTATTTAAAGTTCGTTTATTAAATATTATCTGAAGTTTCAAAAATTACAAATACATATACATTCATTTGAATAGCCCAGTTTTAGTTTTAAAAATGACTTACAAAGATGAATGCCGTCTAAACATGTTTTTGTGCAAAATCAGCATAGAAAAAGGTGTCAATATTTAATATTTTTTAAAACACAGAAAAGGATGACAAGTATAACATGATTTTATACAGTTTCATGTTGAAACATTTTACATATTGCTCTATGCATTATTCTATATTTCTTTCTATAGCTAAAGTATATCTTGCCTTATATAAAATGGCCATTGGTAGAAATAACGTTATTTCATTTTCTTTTATATAGAATTAAGGTTGTTTCATCAATTGTTACGATTGATAAAATAAAATACAAATATTTAAATTTCACAACAAGCCTAGCTTTAACTTTTAACATCATATCTAAGATTTTGCATGTAAATGGTGGAAGGTACATTTAGCCCCAGACATATGTTGTTCTTTTCTTTTCTAAAAAGTTTTATTATATATTTGGTGTCCTATAACAGTTTCCAAAAAGTTACTCAATGGCTATACACATGAAACACATTTTGCTTCTGTTGCTGTTTGTAAATGAGTACAGTTATAGTGATTTAGTATTCTTTTCTGGAAGTCAAAATACCATTTTGCTTACATTTTACTACTTTCGTCAAGAGATATGTATTTAAACCTTAAATAGGTAAACATTATATAATTTATGTTTGCCCTTTCTTAGGAAGATAAAAAATATTTGTTTCTGGGGCATGATGGGCCTTTAACTATCATGATGTTTTGCAATATTACAAGACACGAGAAATATAGCAGTTGCGTTAAAATATGGTGTAAGTAATTTTTCCTTGTCATACTTATTGCAGAATTAAGTTTTGACACCCGAATATTTCTCCCATTTCTATGTCGAAGAGAAAATTTATAAATTACACTGAGCAACCTTTATTCATACATGATTTAAATCTTGTTAAAATCATATCATTTGTTAATTATCTTGTTAACAATAAAGCAACGGAAAACAAATGAATCCCTTAAACATTAGCAATATGGCTTCACGTGGAAAAAAATATAAAATTCATTTCCGTTGTCCTTTTTAATATTTCATTAAGACTGGCGTACTTTTGAAACAAAGCAATTATTTGTGTGTAAATGTGTGCGATTATACCTTAATCAGTCTCACATAGAAAAGCCTCGTCCCCGTGCAGCCCCGTGCTTTACGAAGACAAGATCGCGTGACTCGTGCTACTCAAAGTCTTAATAAAAGCACAAGTGATGTTTGAAAGTTTGTTGCAAAATCTTCGGCGTGCGGTTTTAAAGTAGTAATTTGTGCTCATAATGTCAAATGAGAAAATTAAAACAATGTTAAACTGTGGTTTCTGCGAGGACTTATCAAATACAAATCTTTTAATCAACCAATTTTACCATATGTTCAGTATTCATTTATGTATTACAAAATGACACCGTTGTTGCGAGATTGAATTCTAATACGAGAAAATTTCAACGACTTACTCGTGTGTCTCAACTTAAATGTTATTTTACCCGTGCCCTGATTGAGCAAAAAACGTGCACAATGTGTAAAATTAATTATCTTATGTCTGATAGTGGTTAAAGAGTAAGGTTTAACGACTCTAAAAGTACAGATTTATTTCATAATTTTAATTTGAGACAACAACTCACACATTTAACATATGCACTTTTCTCTTTTCTGAAGAAAAAAAAATTTTGTAAATCAATTTAAACTTTTATATTTGAAATCTCGGAATTCTATGACTTTGAAATATGTCCCTTTTATCATGAATAGTTAAATAAGATAATTTGTTTCACCAGGATCTGTTTAGTTCAAATTATTTTATATGAGGTATGAATATAAAATTATTAAATGATAGCTCACGTGAAATGTTGAAAACGAAATATGTTAAAAGAACGATGACTCGTGTCTCCCAAATTATACTCAATGAATAAATGCATGTATATATTTATACAATATTTATCATAACCATTTTGCCTCACTTTATTTATCAAAGACTTTTTATTACAATTTCCAAAAAAAGCAAACAAAAATATAATACTTTTGCCACATAGATTAACCATCTTTTACTTCTTTTGCTCCGTTGGCAAGTGAATTCATATGGAAATCAAATTACTACTTTGTTTACATTTTGCTACTTTTATGACACAATATTCAGCAGTTGTTAAACATCTAATATGCCCTGAATCCATTCATAAAACATTTATTAAACAAATGTTTGACATTTCTTAAGAATTATAAAAAAAGAACATGAATTTCGGAGGCATAATGTGCATTTAACTTAAATTTAAATCGATAGATGTTTGCCTATTAAACCAACCTATATGTGTTTGGATTGGTTATACTGTAATGTCTTTAAAATATTAATTACTTATTTTTTTTCTTAGTTACACTTCGCATCCAACTTAATGCTTTTTCAATAATTAATTAATGTATTTGTATTTATTTATTAATTAATACGTACATGTACATGCATCAAAGGTGCGTGAGTTGTTCTTGCCATAATAGGTAAGGGGGGATTATTTATCTTGATGATCGACAATATAATCTTTTTATCCGAAAAAGAAAATCAGAATACTAAAAAGAATAGATTGCAGCATGCTTGTTTTTTTTCAGAATTAGGGTTTTACAAACACCACATATTGAAGATATCACGCATATTTCTTCCCATTGCCCTAAATCATCCGTTTTTTTGTTCTTTTTAGTCATACGCATGCACATTCGTTAGATGGAGTGAGCTAAATCATAACGAATAGCGAAGAAGAAAAAAATAGACAAGAAACAAAAATATTTGTCACTTTACCGGAAACTGGCATTGCTAGTTATAAGATTTTGTATCATTTAAAGTTTATTAAATAATTCATCATGTAAAAGTTGTAGATGATTTTGTATTATTTAAAGTTTATTTAATAATTTATCATTTAAATGAACTGTTATGATGCATAAATCTTGAGTAAAATTGCTTATCAAATTGCTATATATTAGTGACATCAAGTGACGTTCTTTTTATTTTTTTATCATTAATGGAATCATTTTATACGGGACTTTACCATTTTTACACATCATTTTATTTCAATTCTAGCATTCAATAGCATCTTATACAAAAAAAAAATGTTGTTACAAAAATTTCCAGCGTAAATACCGTGCGCGAGAGTAACCAACTGTTAATTTTAGATTACACTTGATGCCAATTTATTAGAAACGAAGTGGTTTTGTAACAATTGTCTAACTTCGCGACGCTTTCTCCCTCCTGAAATTTCCCATGTTTCGAACATTGCACCAGTAGTCCGATAAAACCTTGATAAGACGAGTGCCACTAACTTAAACATGTCATCCAAATAATTAAAATGATATAACACGTAGGGTGCCTTTAATGATCATTAAAATTATAATTGTCAGTCGCTGATTACGGCTGATTATTGCCCATTTATTTCCCGATTATTGCTACATGTGGCGTGGAGGCTGAGAACCGTGTTAACTAGCTTCAGCTATCAATTGCTAGTAAACGAGATGCGCCGTCCCCACTCTTAATCGCCGCTATCAAGTTACGTTACGGTACGTTAAAAATTGCCAATTCATCAAGAGTTATGAATGCGGAATATCTAGTTAACTAATAAGGCGCTCTGGTTTTACGATTAGAGTGAATATCATGTCACAGATCCTTTCGTTGCTCTAGCTGCTATTTTTTTTTAAAATACAAAATTATAAAAAATGTACATATAAAACAAAAAGTCTAGTAAATAATAACATTAAAACAATCAGTTCACGTTATTTTAATGAAAAAAAAACAATCTAGAACATTTGCATTATATCTAAATAACTTTTGATTTATCTTCACTGTGTTTAAGCTGTTTAAATAACGCGTATTAATTTTACATTTAACAAAACATATAGTCATTAAATTTTAAAGCAGACGACACACAATGAAAACTAAAACGCTGCTGCGGAGATGATACTGTTACGAATAAGTTTCAACTTACTTCATTAACAGAAAAACATAATATAATAACCCATACAACGCCGCAATCAGATGCCGCGCTTCCGGTAACCGTGGAGTCGACCCTCGCACCCTAGTTCACGCGGGTCAAACAACCTATACTCAAAAACAAGTTGAATGACAGATGGGTTTCGGAACGCAACGGGTTGAGATATAAAATTAAACAATGAAGACATAATGGTTTTCAGTTCATTTAAATAAATTAACTCGTTGATATTCAAAAGGAGGATTGTCTTTTTGCTTTTACGAAGTATTTCTTAAGTAGAAAAAGTATATATACATTTATAATATTATCATTGTTACTGCTACATAAAAGTAATTTATAGTCTTGTTTCTAACTTTTGTTTCATTTAATTAGTAAAAAACATATACATGTATATGTATTTTAGACAATTTAGGCATTGAGACAATTTATTCAATTTTGTTTTTCTTCAAATCAAAATTAATTATTAGATTAAGTGTTCAATGAAATTTAGAAGATATTGTTTCTAAAATGTACTAATGCAATGACTCCAAGAAAAAAACATTGAAAATAGCGTTCTATGAGATGTAACGGGGCATTTAAGTTAGGCGAAATCTACTGCAAGAATTCACAAATAAAGTAGAACCATGGATAAAATGTTTTGGTAAAGAAGTACTTTGTACACGTGATAGTAATGTTATTAATTGTATATGAGAATTGTACCGCTAGGTCCCCCCGAGTTAATGGGTAACACACTCACAGATTATGTAGATATGAATCTGTAGATCAAAAGTACAACTTGTCGTCTGATGCTTACAACATGCGAACAAACACTTTCTGATGTTAGAACAAAAAGAACAGCAAACAAGAATAGAGATTAAATCTTGTATTTATTTATTTACATAGGACATACCTAATTAATTAGATCAGCTGATGTGATAAATTGGTCACTATCACATATATTTCATCTGCGATACCAAGAGGTTTAGCATTTCGGCTGCCGCAGGGATAGTAGTATGATTTGACTGTGTAAACAAGAATTTATCAGTTCTGTGTGGTTTTCATATTAATTAATTATCGATCGTAATATTTTCAAATCATATAAATTGACGATTTTTCCTTTGTTTTAGTGCCTCCAGTAAGCACACAGGAGCTTGCTTGTTGCTTGAATGTCAATGCACTTGAAATGTCATTAATACTCTATCTAATATTTCTATGATTTGATGCTACGTCCCTATTCCCATGATGGTCCGGTGTTTTGTCGAGTATCCGCAATTTTTCATTAATATATCAAAGTTCAATCTAGAATTTTGTCAAACACTATATTTCGAGACCATCTGCTATAATGTAAATATTTATACTATATCAATAGAAATTCTCTCGTGGGTTAATAAACGATCATTTAAATCTTTTGATTCTTTTTTATAATTTTAGATGTCATCATCCGCTTCTGTGACGTCACCACGTGCTTGCTGTGAAAACGGGCGTCCAATAATGACGGATCCGCACACAGGGCAGACGATTTGTTCCTGTCAGTATGGCACAGCCTTGCTTAATTACTCAAGGGTACAGGGACTCCCAGATGGCGTATACGGAGCATCGGCGGCGGCATATGCTGCGGGGGCTGGACAGGGTTACGTGCCCCTTGGAACAGAAGGTTCAGCATTTTATTCGCCTTTGGTAAGTCTTGAATCCGACAGTCTGAATTATATTTTAGTTATACTTCAAATAACTTTCAGGTGAAAAAAAAATGTTGAATGTTCAACATATCCTACAAATGCATCAAATTATTTGTCACATCATCATTTGATTATGTTACCCTATTTGCCATACGTTTCAGAAAAAAAAACACATTCAAATGCTGTTTCATATCCCGGAAGAAAATCTATTATAAAAGTAACTTGTTTAATTGAGTAGATATTTTGTAACATGTGTACTATGTTTTGGCAAAGTAATGAAAAAAGAAAGACAAATGTATCTTAAATAAAGACAAATTAGCGAGGGATCAAGTACGAAATTATCGATTAACTGTACACAAAATAGGAAAAATAGACATGCATACGAGAACAATATTGTTCTATGAAAATGCAGCATGTAATAACAAAATCATTCAATTGACTGATAGATTTTGGATGATTAAAAACGTTTAAAATTCCGGGCCATTTGAGTGTGCATTCTTACAATAATCTTTGTTCGAAACATGCCCGAGCAATTTCAAATATCAAAATCAAACCGTTGACGATGCAAGATACATTGTTTTATAAATGATCTGATTGAAATAAAGTCATGACCTGCGAATAAAACACCTGTCTTACTAAAACAAGCTCTACCGGTAAAACATAGCTATAAACAATAGTGAACAAGCACGGTACGGTGCGACACATTAGTACGAAATGTTATCGGGACGAATATCGCTAATCCGTATATAATTATCTATAATATATCTGATTAGATTTACAATTAATTCTTTGCTTAACAATTAAGCCTTGTACGGGGATGAACGCCAAGATGTCAACATGTGCGATCGGTGTAATTAAGAACGTATTGAAAATCAATTTGTCTATGTGTGGCGTAGGTCCGAAATAGACACAAATCGTTCGGAAATCTTAAACGCGCCCATGTTTGTCCATCCGAATGGCATTATCGTTAAGTGACTCATTATGTATACAGCATTGTTCATATTCTTGATATATAGCTGTATAGGAGGAAATGAAATATCAATATACAATAGAATGATACTAAAATTTGAAAACATCGAGAAATAGAAAAATAAGAATATAAGAAATGCAGTTGAATCTTTTATTATTATTATTTTATTATTATTATTATTATTATTATTATTATTATTATTATTATTATTATTATTATTATTATTATCTTGCGAAATTGTAAATATCGGTTATAAAATAGTTTTCTAAAGTTGCCTGTGAGATATACTGGTTAGATAATATAGGGGACTCCACTGAGGTTTTTTACAACATGACGAGACTGGAACTAATTTTTCGAGATTAATGTTCAATTTGATGTAGGTCTTGACCAGTAACGTGTGTGCAAAATTTCAGATCATTCGCTCACTCGATTTTTCCAGAAAAAATCTAATGGTGTAAAACGATCCATAAACGAAAAACGTTGCAAGGAACAACGCATTAATTTTTTTATGCATTAACGTAATAAAAAATAACGACTTTCATATTTAATACAAAATCTATTATAACAGTATATTTTTTTTTTTAAAATTACAATTTTGTCATGCGCTTTAATTATTATACATAAAGTTTTATTAGTTGTTTTTATTTTATACATTGGATATTACATGTAATTTATCTGAAATGCGAGCCAAGTACTTACCATAGATGTGCAAATAGGGTTAAAAAAATATGTAAAACTACGCGCACATTTCGTGTGTCCTGAAGAAAAAATTCTAGTTTCCTCCTGTCAACACTTTCTTCGTGTGCTGTTACCGCTGTTACATTATACACCCGACGTTCATGGGTCATACGGGTAGTGTTTCCGATGACATGACAAAATACATCACTCAAATCTTAATAAGCCACTGCATTTGCACTCAAGTGATGTATAAATGTAGATATCATAATATGTCCCTAAAACATGCATGTCAAACACGGAAACGGGTTTATATTCCGGGATTAAATACAAAAATAACACGAAGCGCCGAAAATTAATAGTTACGTGTAAGTCAACAAAGCAAATAAAATTTACGATTAATTCTGATTTAAATACTCGTACTTTAAAACCCTCAGCGTCAATACTTGTTGATATTTTTGGTAATAACCATTCGGTGACTTTCGATGAAATCAATAGCATTCCGAAATCGGGAGCCGGGATAAAGATTGTGATGTTTATTGAATAAACTAATTAAACATGACACCGAACGGCCAGTATCAACAATAATTATCCCACAACTGAAAGGGCCAGAAAAATAATTACCTCTCTAGAATGCACAAAAATATTGTGATGCGCCCTACACATTATCTGCAATGTGTTTGAAGTGAGATCCCATAACATGAAGGCTGTCCAGTAAGGTGAAAGGGCCATCTCCTTGTCTTTGATTATTGACCTCTCGGCTGGCCTGACCGTACGATAGGGCAGGATCTTAGTTTATCATTTTCAGTTTATTAATTCAATTATAGTCAGAAACGTGCGTGTCAATATTGTAACATCTCACCCAAAGAGTGTGCCTGTTTTTCATTTTGTTTATATATTGAATGTATGCATTTATTTAACTTTATAATGTAACTTTATTTCACTTTATAATGGTTAAATATCGATATGGCTTTTCTTGCCTTAAAACGGTGATATATTTACAAACATTATTTTGTTCATTTATGAGTTACTGATAAACAGATTCTGTTTATAGATAATTTTGGAAATGTTTTGTTTGTCGTCGCTTATTTTACAGAATTGAAAGAATTTTGTTACATTTAATGAACAATTCTTCCGTTGGATTTCTTTTTTTTAAACTCATTTGGGAATTTATTGAAAGGTAATTAAAACATAACAAATATTCGATGTACCGTACTATATTTGAATAGAAAACATCATTATATTTTAATTCAAATATTTTTTTTAAATGTTTAACGCCTATTGGATTGCATTTAATTTTATTCTCTCTAACTCATAATAACAATTATAATTAAAACTCGAGACAAATATGTGCTACATTCATATTTTTTAAAACATTTTCTTATGAAAAATGTCTTTTATTTAGTATTAATCACATTTGAGTCTGCAGAGTTATGCATGATGAACAAACATTACAAAAAATAAACAAACAAAAAAATAAACAGCACGCGTTTTGGGGGAAGAGAAAAAAATGGCGTTCCGTTTTTTTTCCAACGACGCAGTGTATGGGGAAATAAAAGAAACAGAAATCTCATTCGTAATGGAGATATTTTATTTCATATAATCACATCGTACATTTATACTGCCTATATTAATCATAAGCAACAATGTTCATTACTTTTGACAAAAACAAGGCATTACGCCTAGATAGATTGTTCAACATATCTCAGTGGCATAAACAGGGAGATGTTTTCGCCCCCATACTCTTGTATTACATTTTCCCAGCCACCTGCGCAGACATTCATACATTCTATTTATATTAGAAATGATAGTTGACTCGAGACACTAAATGCTTGCTACCCCGGCTTATCAGCTTGCATCCAACAGCGTATTTCGAGATATTATCTATAAATTATGAGCGACGTATCCTTGTATGACAAGTTTTCTACATAGTGAGTGAATAAATATCAACTCTGCAGACTTTTTCCAAGCTAAATTACTGACGTTTATATCCCCGATCCTATATTTTATTTTCCCTTATTTTGAATTCCGTGCAAACGCCGAAGTGCGTTTTTTCCTTCTCATTTCCCCATCTTTCTTTCTTTTCGTCATTCGAAAATAATAATTAATATATCTTATTTAGAAAATATAGCATGATTTGATATATACTAATAGAGGTTGCTATATACTAATAGAGGAAGAAATACAAAACACACAGCGTTTTGAGCTACAAGATTAGAATAAAACTTTATATTAATAATGATGATAATGTGAATTATCTCAAGTAAATGTACTAAAGAACTTTCTCGATTTTTTATCTTAAGAAAATGCCGATCTACAGCTCTAAAGAATTTAACTGATTATGTTCTGCTTTTATTCATTAGATAAAGTATAATATTATGTCTTTTTAATACATATCTTTTTAATACAAGATATTAAAATATTTCAAATATAGCTTTAATCGCAGACATACGACCATTATTTTTAAAATTATAATTTCTTAACTTTTGAAAGAAGGTATGTTACAATATGATGCTATCCTAAATAAAAGCCTTTTTTTAATAAAACTTAATCCAATTTAATTTTTCGGGCAAAATAAAACGTACAAACAAAAGGCTTTACCTTTGGACCAAAATTTTTTATCACGTACAAGAACTGTATTTTCACGCATCTGTTCGCCTCGCGCGGCTCCCGAGAGTTAACCATTTATCTTTGACAAATTTTGATTGGATCCTCATTCATTTTGCGTGAAATCCTACTTCTCATCAGCGGGGAACCAGCATCTCTTTATTGTTGATGCGGTGCTTAAATATGATATTTCAAACATACACATGTCGATTTGTGTTTTCTTTGCAAAATTGGTCTTGACTTTTATCATTTTCCGTAAGTGTATAAAGAGTTTATACCCGTCAAAAGTCATATTCCCCCATAAATCAAAAACAGTAAAGGCTCAGTTATGATTGGTCGGAATGTTTCATATTATTATTAACAAAAAAAAGGTTATTAATCAATTATATTAAAATAAATTTAAAAAAAACAGTGTTTGTGATCTTGTCACACATATATATAAATTGTCATCATGTGGCAATACTTTGATATTAAAATGCAATATTTCAAAGCCAAAACCAAAATGCATGTTTCAAAAATTAATCATAATGTTTAAATTAAGTTGTGTGATAACTTAATGAATCATTTTAAGTAACATAATCTCTTCACATCTATATTTATATGTCTTTTATGACCAAATTATATTAAATATACGAGGTATCATGTATTAATTAGCCGCTTTCATTGACGAAACATGCATTAAATTGGTATTATATAACATTAATAAATATTGTAAGCTATCCAGCTAGCTTACGGAACGTCGCCGGTTATATTCATGTGCCCGTTCGTGCGGATAGGGCACATGAGGTCTTCCTTTACCGGTAAAACTGGAAAGTACCAATATGACCTCTCCTGTGTTGATGGGCCGTAAAACCAAACAAAAAAGTATTGATATAAATGATTCTTCATTTCAGGCTAACCCGGCGGCGTTTGATATGAAAGAAGGATCGGAGGCATGGAGAGCCCTTGCGGCCCAAGGTGGATGTTTCCCTTATGATCCAAGCATGGCGCTTTATCCATATGGAACTGGGTAAGAGATTCTTATGGTCATTAGATTATCTATATTTAGAAATGTTGTGTCAATGATACAAGCCTTTATCTGAATTAAAAAAAAATGTATATTTTAATTTGTATATATCATATTTGACTTTTTTAATTTTTTATTGTTATTTTTTAATTATGTTATTAAGCAGGTATTGTTAAGTCTTTATAATATGATCTAAATTGTGTTGGTACGCCGTAAAACCAAACAAAACGATCACATCTTTATATCTTTATTAAAATGACCCATTTCAGTTCCATGTGTTCAAAGTAATTTTTTTTATCTGAAAAAAAAAAAAAAAAAAAAAATGTTTTTAAACGCTCATGTACAGCAAGGGTTAAATTATACTTGACACGTACCAAATAAATTGCTCATCCACAGCTTTTATGTTTTAAACACATTTCAGAAGTATTTGTTGTTGTTTTTTTTCATGTCCTCATTGGTAATTTGGCATTTTGGACTATTTGCAAAAATTAATATTCATCAAGAAAACTTACAGTTAATATGACTGATACACATTATACATTTTCAATAAATATACAATTATAACAATCTATGTAGCATAAACATTTAGTCTGACAAAGAATTTAATCTTATGTAAGTATATTGCACACTTTAACATTGCCATGACACATCTTTCAATTTTTCTAATTGTCGTACAATATTTTTAATTGCCACATACATTATTTCTAATTGTCATACATTATATGCCCAAGTCAAACGAACATTCTGTAAAATGTCCTTTTACAGAAAAACTAGCCAAAACATAATGTTACACTTTTATCTAGGATCAAATACTTCATGACTGTATTGTGGAAAAGAGATATGTTCAAACTATCGTCTGCTTTTTGCTACGCAATAACAAGATCAAGCAATAAACTTTCATTTTTGGCTCTTCTGTCTAATTTAATTTGGTGCAAAAGATAAATTTGATAATGTTCCCAAATAATGCTCTAAGATGAGTTGAAAACAATTCACAGGAAGCGCACTTGTGTTTGAAATATAAATTAGAAAATAATCGGTTTTATTTACTAAGTGATGATCAGTATTTTGTCCTTGGAGTAGAGATTACATCTGAAATGTCTTATAATTCAATAACTTTATTCTGATAAAAGTGAGTTTATGAAACAAATGTCGAGAGATCAATTTAGCTTTTTCATACACATGATAATTAGAAAAAAAACATCCTGCGGTTCAAAAAATGCCATAAAGGGACTTGAATATTTAATATAAAACATTGTTTCCCTTTGCGTTGACATTGTAAAACAATCGTGGAAATCATTATCAGAATAGCACAAATTTAATATAACTCATGCAAAACATAAAATACTAATACGGAAATTGTTTCTGTTTGCTTTTACACAATTAAACTCCGCTTTGTTTTTCCGTCTGCACGTTTCATGCACGTGCGACACTGAAGACAAATCATTAACTCAATATCTGTTATACCCTGTCTAAGTGATTATAGTGAAAAGCATTTTATAGCCAATTAGAGACAAAAGACGGTGAATATTGAATCGCTTGACAGTAGTGCGAGTTTCATGCCCTTTGCTATTGCCTTTCACTGCGCATAATTTATTGGCTTAAATAACGATATCAGACTAATCGGGAAGATTTTATCGCCCGTCTTTGTTCGGCGCTTCCTATCTACAAAATACTAAATGTTCCATAAACAACAATCAGTTTCTCCTTTGTAATTTTGACAGCTGTTAAATAGTATACCAACACTTAGCCAGATAAGGACATTAACACAGCTGTAAAAAGTCACAATTTTAGGTTTCAAGTTTCACATTATGTTGAACAGAGGTGTTTCTATTTATCATCGCGCGGTTAAGGACAGTTTTATTATATTCACGTCACAATTTTTGACATAACACATGCGAAGTTGAGCATACTGATTATGAAAGTGACATGCCTACATTTATCCCATATCTTGCTTGTCTTAATATGATCTTTAGAAGATTGAATAATGTGATTAAAGTTAAAAGAGTATTAAGTATGAATATAAGACTAAACTCGGACTGTTGAGTCTAGCGTCTGTCCAAAATTACACAAGTACCAATTAGTTTATCTTATAGAGCCACTTCCTTCAGCCTTTGTCATTTATTAGTTTTAATTAAATCTATATACTAAAAAGAAAGAGCGCACCTGGTTAATGAACGTTTACAATAACCTTTCATTTGTGCGTCTTTAAAGTCTAAAACCTTAAAGATCTTTGAACGAAGAAAACGTTTATCTAAATATAAATAACGAATATTTAAAAATTGCTAACCATCTATGAGTTACAATAACTCCACCAATACCAAAAAAACAAAACAAAAAAAACAATAAAATAAATAAAATATTTGTTTTAAGTTTGTTATTTGGAGCAAAAAATGAAGAAAATAATTAATGATGTTGTTCATATTCACAGATATGGCGGACTTGATTTAAACGCCAGACGCAAAAATGCCACACGGGAAACAACCAACACTTTAAAAGCATGGTTGTATGAGCACCGAAAGAACCCATACCCAACAAAAGGAGAAAAGATCATGCTTGCTATCATAACTAAAATGACACTAACCCAAGTTTCAACATGGTTTGCAAACGCTCGCCGACGTTTAAAGAAAGAGAACAAAATGACGTGGTCACCACGTAATAGATCAGAAGATGACGTCAGTGGTGACGAAGACATGGACAGTAAAACCAACGGAAATGATTCCGATACTTCACATGCAAACACCTCGGCAGACGACAATCATGGTAAGTAGAAGATATTTATTTGTTAAAACAACAACAAAATAACTGTAACATCAGATAAAGTGCAAGATTGAAGGTTGGAAGAATGAATATTCATTTCACATTTTGTAAAAAATATACCATTGTATGCATTTTGTTTAATCGTTTTTCCTTTATCTTTTCTAGAACCTATTCGTAATGCTTGATTTTATGCTGATTTCATTACGATAAAACTAATTAAAATACATACAAAATCAATATTATTTTTTAAAACAACGACTTAATATCCTTTTCAGCATTATCTGCTTTCCATCAGTCACTTTATCTATTTTCAACTTGTATTTCCTTATAATGTATTAAGTATTTTTTTGATTTATAAAAACACTATGTACTGATAAGGTTTTACAATAAACGTTTATGTCGAAACAAGGAAATTAAACCAACAATGATGGAGAAGAAAATATTGTTTATTATCATATATTTTTAAGCAAAAATAATGCTATAAAACATAGAAATTTGCATTAAAATGCATCAAACTTAATGTATAATTTATAAAAGTCATTGTTAAACAAAAATTGATTCATCAGAATACATATAATTACTTTACAAATGCGCGTAGATTTATATTAAAATGCATGATATAATTTGGGTGTTTATAATTCATCTTCTATCATAAAAAACACTTCAAAGATATTATATTTACTGTTAAACTCATCTGTCTTTGTAACTTTAAATGGATACTATAATTAAGTAATAAAAATGCATATAAATGCATTTGTAAGTAAAAACGTATGTAAAATAGATATAAGTGTCGAATCATCAGACTATCTGTCATCAACATGTTCAAAAATAAATTTACAAGGTAAATAATTTGCTCAAGTTAAAGGTGAATACTTTTCTAACATTCATTTCAATTAAATTAAGGGGAGTTAACTTTGTCCTTAGCTGTCGTCTTTTTATTCCCTTTTTGTTTTTGTTTGTTTTTTTTTTTGCAAAAACTTTCATTTAGTTTTCCTTTATGAAATGTTAATTCTTTTCTTCACATTCATATCAAGTTTTCGAAAAAAAAGGGAATTCAGTTTATTCAATAATGTTTTTGTTGTTGATGTAAAACAATATGTTACGAGAAATTCAAAATGATATATAATTGTTAATAACCTGTAGGCGTGAAATGAGCAACACTAATAGGGACATTATTTTATTCATAAATGGGTTATCCTGTAGTTTATGGGTTCTTTGGTAGTTAACACAAAAGTTATGTTTAAGTTTAAGTTTCCATTGCCTTTAATGAACAAACATGTTGTCAGGCATTGCTTTGAACAATTCGCTTTATTTGCCATGAGACATCAGACCAGATGTTGTTAACAGTCTTAAAATACAAAGGTGCTTGTCTTAAATGTGTAATGTTTATATCTTGTGCTGTATGTGTTATTAATATACAAGTGTTTTTTTTTCTTCAAACATTTAAATGAATATCACGCCATACAAAACCTTTCTTTGAATTTCATTACCCGAGGTAATCAATTCTAAACGTGTTTATGAATAAAAATTAATATAGAAGTAAAAAAAGAAAATGTCGGACACATTTCCTTTACTCTTTTGGGGGAGTGGCGGGGTGTGTTAAAACAGAATTTAAACGAAATAGATAAATTTTAAGGAAACAAAAACTGAAGAAGCATGGCCAAAATAAAACAATAACAATTTACCATTCAGATTTAAACAGTTTAAGTTTTGTTTTTAAGCTGATGTAAATTATAAGGCAGACTAAGATAATATTGAAAGGAAACTGAAATAGAAATAAATGCATATATGCCAAAAAGTTTAACGTCAAAACGTCTTTAAAATTAAATTCACTCGTGCCAATAAAAGGGTATTCCGTAAAGTTGTGTTCAAATAATCCTGACTGGATCGTACTTTCAACAAGTTTATCTTTGAAAATAATACCTATGAACATATTCATTTTCCTCATCAATATAAACATTTAAACTTAATTAACTCAATAAATGCCACTTATAATTAAAAACGAAATAAAACAAGATCCTGCAATTCTGCTTTATTCAACATGCCACTTGTGGGTGGGTATTGGAATTTGAATGTTTGAATGTTTTTGAAATCTTCAGTAAACATTTTTTGAAAGCTTCATGTCTAAGTATTCTGACAGGCAGCAACAGATAGTCCGGTTGAATCATCATTCCACAATCATTTTATGTATGTATTTTGTTTATCTCTGTATTAAATAGATAGAATTATTGATTGTGTTACATTATAATCTAAGAATGTATCTTCAGTAAGGTTTTGAATTATTTACAAGCAAAATCATCTCGGCGATAAGAACCTTCGCACCTGGAACATTTTTGGCATGTAGGTCTTCATCAGTAACTTCTTGTGTGGCGAAATTGCCTGATCACCTCTTTTGATTTGGAGGAAACAAATCAGCGAGCGTTGCACCAAATTATCAAAACAAGTGATGATTTATGGGAGAAAAACGTTCATTCACAAATATTATTTAAATCAACTAGTTTAATTTTACAATTTGGGGGCTCGTGGTTGATGGTTATCTGTCCAGGGACAATGATGTAATTCATCACACAGCAATGGCTGACACGAATTTCTGGTTTCTGTCGTAATTTTGACGTGTTAGAGTTGTACGTCTATACAATAAGCTTAATGTATCGTTTACAGATTCATTTTAGATATTAGCCCTGATCCTATAAGATAACAATCGTACATTTTGTAAGGGTCGAGCCATTTACTCCTGAATAAAACGTTTTTTCTGATATCGCGAAATCAAACAACTAGCTTCCGCCAGTGGATGAAATAGACATGTTTGAAGCATTTAATAACTAAAATTTCAGTCGTATATTATGTAATCTCGTCTTTATCAAATGTTTCTTTTTCATTTCTGCTCATTTGGGCTGGATGTTTATTAAATTATTTTGACATTCTTTCATAAGCTGATTTTTACATTTCATACAGAATTTCTCCTGTATTTTTTTCCAGTAAAATATCATTGTACTTCGTGTTTTAAGTTCACATCGCCACACAGTTTGCATTATTTACGGTATAAAGATATTTTTGTATGATGTTACTTAATTTAGATAGTTTTTGTTCGATTTAAGGTACAAATCAATTAGTATTTGGATATCAATGATGTATTTGTGACGTTTACGAGTGTATATTTCAGTATACTAATTTATTGTTTACAACAAATAAACAGAAATCTGTATTGTCTTCGTGGCATTTAATCTGATGTCAACACAATCGCACCAATATCTTTCCGAATTAATTAACTGTTAATTATCCAATTAGTAATTTTGACACGGCTTCAAACTGAACCTTTATGGTAACATGCGAGTATATTTGTTTTTTAAAGAGGCTTTTTGCGAATGGATTACGAAATATATTTTTGATAAGCACAGTAGGTGTTATATAATATATTATGCCGTATCACAATGGATCAAGGCTGCGGCTTATATGTTTAAGTATTTTTTTCTTTCTTTTTGTCTTTGTATAAAAGAAGTCAGCAAATGACAATCTTGAAAACGACTTTTTACAATCATTAATTTATACCTTATGGAAATAAATTGTTTTTCGTTATTTTTTTCAAATATATTTAAATGTGATACAGGCTTTATTGACAAATAAAATAATAATTGTTATTTGTAAAGTTATTATTCCAGATGGAATATCATGAATTATGAGAATTCGAATAATCATGCACGGGTTAAGTTACAAAGGTTATAAGACAAACTTTTCAAAGAAAATCTAAACCAAGTTACATCTCGATATTTAAATAGAAAATTACACAAAAAGTATTGACCCTTTGTACACAGAAAAATTTGTTAAACATATTTTTAAAAAATAAATGTATTAGCCTAATGCATCCGTCATCGCATAAACCTAATCTCACAACCGAAGAAGAACATAAAAATGTCATTATTGAAGAAGAAGAAGCGATGCGTGCTGGCGATTAAAGTTTCTTTTACACTTGATTTAATTCTATTTGGATTTATCTCTGTGTCAACACTATCATCTTTATCTTTACTGGGGGCCTGCTGCTCTTACAGAGCATCAAATTGATATTTTATGTCGGACAAAAAGTACCTGACAACTTTATTTACATTTACGTTTTAAGTTAAGATAAACATAATAAAAGTTAAGGTTTTTAAAGATGTTGGCATTGCGAAACAATATCGTGTTATGTATACGAACCTACCGACTTTATGCGTAGATTACGCTAATATTATGATGTAAACTTATTAAATTTACTTTTAATCTGATAAACAAACCCTAAAATGACCGTGAATATCGGTGTATGAAACAATTAAAATAGTGGAAAATTGAAAACAATATGGGTTTTCCCACACTTGTTTGCTGTACAGGCTGGTTACTGACTTTAGTGATTTAACGATAACACAAAAAAATAAAATAAAGCAGAACATACGTTTTCCATTCATCTTGGAAGCCTCGTAATACTGTTAAAGATATACAAATTTATTGTACTTGTTGCGATTTTTTTTCAGCGTGTCAAATATTTGTTTCTGTAGCGATAAAAGCTATCTTCAGTCATAAACGGTTTAACGAAATCAGAATGTACGGTATCTACAGGTGTTAAACCATTTAAATTCACGTGATTGACACTTCAACGATGTGCAGATCTGAGTCGGTGGCATTAACCGTCAAATTGTAAAGAACATCAACTTCAATTGTTTTATAGCTCAAAACTAAATGATACATTGTAAAAGGAAAATATGCATGCTGACAATGCGAATTGTAAAAGTACACCTTTACATCTTGACGGTTATTATCATTTTGATAATCAAAGAGTTAAACAGAGTAAAGATGAAACAAATGTAGATGTAGGTGTGAAATGTAATAAAACATTGTTCCGTGTTATGATAATGAAATTTATTTTTGTTGGATTGAAAAAGAATAATAAATAAATAAACCCTTTGTTCTAAGTTAAAACTACTATTATATCGGCTGTTGATGAATAAATATTGAAAAAACATTAGGACAAAATAAAAAAAACAAAAAACAAAGACTAATGATATAAACATTGATGAAAATAAAAAAAAAGTTGATATTTATATTTTATTCAAATATCGTTTTTTTACCAGAAAATATAATATTAGAAATAAATATTATTTGTTTCTATAACAATTCCATTGATACATTGCATAAATGTGTTTTTAGTTCTCTGATTAGTGATTACTGATTTGCTTTTATCTAATTTTGGTGCTGTAAAACAAAACCTTGTCCCTCGTGTAATTTTGGTCAAATAGTTATAAATCCAATACAAGTGACCTGTACCTTTCAGCGGGTCATTGCTTTTCGCTGTGTAAAAACTCACCCTGCTGAAAAAATTAATTTGCAACTTTTGGTTACAATCAAACGTAACGTGTGCCTTAATCATGTTGTGATAGGATGCCTTTGTAATGCCGTAATCAAACACGAATGTAATTTAGATAAAAATAGTTTCTCAACGGCTATACTATTCAATGTTTGTTTATTTAGATATTATTCTAGTACCAAATTTCTTTTAAGAAACGCCGTGAAGAGCGTTTTTCAATAGAGGATGGATATCCCAAAGGAGATTTAACATTGATATGAGAATTGTCTCACATGGCGGAAAAACGAACTGTTATCACGAGCTTTTATAGTAAAATTAATTAAGCAGAAATTGTATTAATGTTACAATGTTCATTCTTATAATTGGACGCCGGAAACTGTAAGGAAATCATTAACAAAAGTTGAATTAATCGATGGTAGTTTTTAAGGTACACCTGAAATTGTGTTAAACACAAGTAGCGCGTGCAATTGTGTTTAACAATAATATAACTATATTGTATTTGAAAGACTTCTCATTTAGGAAATTGGTATGGTAATAAATTACTCTACGTGTGGTTAGGAGATATTTCTTTGAGCTCTGTAATTGAATTTAAATTTGTGAAGTGCGTCTTTAAGTGACTTATTATGACATAAATAACTTCGGGTGATAAGGTAGATTTTATTTGACCAGATCGTGTGATGAGGTATTATTGGGGGATAAAATATTTATTTTACCAATCTGATTATGTTAAGTACTTTGCAAATAGATTTAAACTGTCAAATTATGAATGAGACACTTTTGATATGAACATTCATTATTCAAGTGCTTATTTCAAATACCCTTCTGAACATATCAGAATATTCTAAATAGCATATTAACTACTCATTCGTGCCAAACCTTTTTTTCAATTTTATACACAAGAAAATAAAATTGGATATATATTACAAGGATTGGCATGATATTAACGATTATAACGTAAAAGGTCGCCCATGATTATAATAATGATAATAAAAACATTTATAGAAGGTATCATACAAAGTTTACACAAAAAGAGAACATTGTATAATTATTTTCAGTACGGTCTTCTGATTTAACAATAACAATAAAAATAACAACAATTATGAAAACAATACTTATTGATCTAAACAAAAATTGAAACGTTGGTTTATTTTGTATGTTTGTAATTTTGTGCAATAAAGTAACCATACATATAATCTAGATGTAAATAGATATACTCTTTACATACATATACATTTTCTCATTCCAGATCTATCGAGGTCTGTATCAGACAGAGAGGTGTTTGACAGAATTATAAGTGTTGATGATGATGACGAAGACTCCGATCAGAGTGATGCCGGTGACATTGGTGAAATATCTCATCGTCGTGATAGCTTACATGACAAACATGAACACAGAGAAAATGTTGCTTTAAGACTGCAAGATCCAAAAGCGAACACAGACGCTGAAAAAGACACGGGTTCAAAAGATTCAAATAAGACAGTTTCGAGTGAAGTGAAAAATAGTTTAAAACGTGCAAGTGACACAACAGGAGATTCTTCGCATCCTCCTAGACCTAAAATTTGGTCTGTTATGGACGTTTTAGGAAACAAAGAAAACACCAGTTCAAAAGATTCACAAAATTCACCGCAGTCTTCTCCGCCGGCTGTTGTGTGCTCGAGACAAGCCAATGGGCCAGCTTTTCTAAACGCACATCCTTCAAGTCAAGCGTTCCGGGGTGGACAATTACCCTTGGGATTCAATGGATATCCGTTCTCTTTTAGTCATACCACGTTATCCTATCCATATACCCTCTCTGCCTCTACGGCAGCAAAAGCAGAACTTAATATGAAACATGTTGCCGCGATAAGAGCTTCTGAACAAGCATTTAAAGAAGGTCTTGTGGAGAAAGCTGCCAGAATGCAATCTGGAATATTTTCACCGGCACGGGAACTTGATGGCATGCGTGTCAGTGGAAAGGTCATGTTGTAATGAAAGTGTAGATCCCTTTAGATATTGTTAAATGGCTTTATATTCCAGCAGTACTGTTTTATGTAAATTCACCACATTTTATAGATCATTTTTTGTATCAATAGTCTCAAAACAAAACATTGTCCACTTTCAATAAAAATGGTATTGTTGACAAAATGTTTTTTATATAAATTTATAGTAACCGAAATTAATTACTCATAAAGTTATTGTTTCTTAAGCAGATCTTTTCAAAAGGAAAATATTATGTGTTGCGGATATCATGTATGTTTAAAAAATCAGTTGCCTGTTGGTATAATATCTTAAGTATGTGCGGCCAACTCATATGAAAATGACAACATTTGGACACCATTGTATCTCCTAAATCTAGTCTTATCAGCGTTGTTTTACAATATCTCGTTATATGTTTCAAATATATATAGAGATAAAACATTTGTTTTTTTTATTTTACACTGTATTGTGCTATCTCCATGTGCTACAAATTTACATATTGTTTAGGTTTTACGAAATGTACATATACCTTAAAAACATTGAAAACCCTCTTTAGATTGAAATAACATTTTTTATTTTTCTTAAATATATTGATAAAGTATTATGCAGCCTATTGTTTTAATTTCGAAGACGTGTATAACAAAATTGATACAAAAATATAAGTATATATGCTTTAGTGAAAAACACCAATCATATCAATTGATGAAATTTATTAAAGCGGAATATGTTTTGATAAACTGTTTTAGTTTGTGATCTTTTTATCATATGTAAAATACCAATTTTGAATTAAGGTATTTTTTGATGGTTGAACTTTTGTTTTATCTCTAGAGCTATGGTATACTTACATATGGATAAAAAAGTATTTGTCTGTATGAAAATAACATTTACATTGGCATTTCATTTTGATACACAAACATTAAAAATTTATTTGGCATTTTCAACTCTTTTTATTTGATGTTGTTTTATGCATAATAATATTTAAATATATATATCGACTGTTTGCTAAATATGTTCAATAAATTATAGTTAAATAACAATACACTATTTGCTTATTCATTTATTATTTTTATATTATTTTCTTTCAGTTTGAATACAAATATACACCTTTAAAAATATACTAACACAAAGTAAGTGAAGTATAAATGAGTCAGTGAAATGCAATAAGTTGTCTATCATTATCTTTAAAACTATGTCATGTCAGTAAATACTTATAATAACATAACACAGTTCAGACATGATAATTATAAAACAAAACCTAGGTTTACTGCAATATAAGTAGAGATATAAACGTTTGAATCCTATAATATAATTAAACCTTAAAGAAATGTATTTTGTATCTATTCTGTTGTGGTTTTGTTTAATGAAGGGTTTCCTTTTTTCGCAACTTTGGTTTAAAAACAATATTATCAAAATAATTGTTCAAATTCTGTTTGTCCCGATTGTTTACATTTTGCTGTCAAATTAACATAACATATATTTACATACATTAAACATACATAATTGCATAATAGACATAGAAACCAGAAGAGAATACACACACAAATAATTTGTACCATGTATCAGGACCATTGCTATTATATCGTTTTCACGTGTCTATTGAAGTCAATTAATTAAATTATTTATTTATTTATTTATTTTATTCGTTTTTGATTGATTGATTGATTGATTTTATTGATTGATTGATTGATTGATTGATTGATTTGTATTTATTTATTTATTTATTTATTTATTTATATTCATTTATTTTTATTTATTTATTTATTTATTGTTTATTTATTTTTTATTTATTTATTTATTTATTTATTGTATTTTATTATGCTTCCATTAATTTATACATAAAATTAAACATATCAAGCATTAGAAGAAATAAGAAACTTCAGCGGACTCGAAGGCTCCTTTGATATAAACAATTTTGATAATTTTAATTAATAAATAACTATGTATTGTACAAAGTTTATTAAACTCCATCGTTTCGAGGAGTTAAACCCCAATTTATCAAGGAGTTTGCTGTTGATTTTCTAAATCACATAATAATCTTCTTGTTTCTGACACTGTGTTGTCTACCCTTTGATAGTATCACGTTTTTAAGAGAATATTGAACTTTATATGCCCAGTCCGATAATTTCTATATTGAATTTGAAAAGAAGATGAACATAAGATTGGATAATATTATCATGTAAAATCAACGAAACAAATTGTTTTGAATTACAAAAAAGACACTTTATATAATAGACAGTTGCTTTTTTAAAAGAGTTTTTACTCAAATATCTGCTCATCAAATTGTTTGATATAGCTTAAATTATATCTATTTATGTTGATAATGTTGCTCTGTTCCCGAGGTAACAAAAGTTCAAAAAAATCCTAAATCCTCTAAACCTCCAAATATACAAACTTTCTTCCAATTTTTACAGTAGAATTTAAAAATTAAATTTTCTTCCGCTTATATTGTGCTTTTATAAAATATAATAATGTATGAACATATAGGAACAACATTAAATAGTGAATAAAGCAAGATTAACTAACAGAAATCACCAACACATTTTGATATCACCGCTTTGAATACGTGATTAACAGTTGATGGATTTGTAATTTACTTCATTTGATAGACTACTTACATCATCCAAATTGTTTCAGGACATTTCTACCTAGTAGGAACTATTTGTCCTTAATCAATTACAAAAACCATCGCAGCAGACGACAAAAAATGTAAAAAAACAAGCGTCTCACGACACATTATTGATCACCATGGAATCAGAAGCAGACCAAAACTCTCTAACAAACGTTTTGTACCCATCAAGTTGAACTTGTATCAAGAAGAAGAGATAAGAATCAGGCAAACTGAAACAAAGATTAACTTGTTAATTTCATTTACTGGAATTCAATCCCATTTGTTAACAGACGAGTCACTGTATACAATCGCTGTTAGTAAGTTGTCATTTTGGAGAAGGCTAAAAGCTTTCTAGATAAGCCTGGTGATTGTTTGCCGTCTGTCAGCCGTTCCGTGTAAATTAGTTTTGTCTTCTGATACCGACACTGATAAGATGGAATCTTAAAACAAAAGGTCTTGTAAATCTTTACCAGGAATTCCGTCTTGAAACATATTGGCTTTTCTACTTGATTGTAAAATAACGCTTAAATCATACAAGTATGTTAAAATACCGTTTGGGGCAGTACAGGTTTTGCTTATCAAATGGTCACACACCCATACATACATTCTGAATAAAAAGAAATCTACAGTTTTATAGCTTGTTTCTGTTCGTGGAAAAGAATAAACTTAAAGAAATAAGATTTACATTGTGATAAGATAAAGATTTCCGACAGTTTTTGTATTTTATATTCAGAACTTCATGACAAAATTTATTCAGCCTGATATTTAGATATCTTATCTGTAGATATTTATAAAAAAATCAAACAGGCCCACATTTTAGGAAGCGGCTTATGGCCTTTTTTGTTATATTATATCTTTAACAAGATTTGCTCTTTCATCGGGTGACATATTTTAATAGCTACGTAGATATTAAATCTATAATGAAAATATTAGAAACATATTGAGCGTGATAAATAATAAAAAGATTTAAGATAAATATGTATTACATATATAAAATCAACATTCTGACAAATGTTCTCGTAGGTATGTATATATGAATGTATGTATGTATGTATGTATGTATGTATGTATGTATGTATTAAAGGTGTAATGAGGGTCCATCCGCCCTTTCAGACACTTAAAGAACAGACCCCATTCTCGTAGGAACCAGTTTATATACATTTAATAACCAGCTGCTTTAGTAAATTAGGAGCTTTGAAATCTTCACCTATGGGTAATCCAAATAAACAATGTAAGCAAATAACATTCATGAAATATAGGAAAAAAACAGATTTCCCTCATAACGCCAAAAGAAAACCGCCAACAAATGAAAATGCTGCAGACTAAGGTTTGATCGAGCCTGTTCATGGACGGTAGTGGTAATTGCAAGCTACTAATGCTACTATTCGCGACACCTTTGCACCAGTTTAAGCAGAATCCAACATTTTAACGTAATAATAGCGAAATTTTGAATTAAGAAGCATTCGTCGACGTGTTATAGGGCAGTGACTTTCAATGTGACATTTATCGTGTCGTTCCATGAAAAACAGTCCAAAGTAAAAGAATGCTTTAGCCCATAACGAGAAAGACAATGGGCGAAAGTTATTAAAAGGAAATGTTGAGCAGGAATTTGAGGTTATGAGGCCTGTATAGAAAAGGCAAACGTCAAAATTGTTAAAAAGGTAGATAAAGAAGGCAACATATCTTAAGGGTGATTATAACTACAATTTCCAAGTAAGAATAATGGAATCATATATCAAGAAAAAGGTCAAATAGGAGGAATTGAAAAGCCACAAACACAACAATAATTCCAAATGATCTTCACGAATTGGAAATAAATAATCTAAAATGACAATTGCCAATCAAACAAGAAAACAGAAAATTTGGTGTAGAAAATATATATTCTGGAAACATTATATACTCATTCGTTTTTTAGGCTTCCAATTATTTTTAGTGTTTGCTAAATTATTCAAATATTGTTGGTAATTAAAGACTTACCACATCTGTAAACAATTGAAATAACAGGTAAAGTTTTTTTTGGAAACCACTTTTATTCCTAAGCGATTTAAAGCAAAGCAAAATGTCCAAAATTGTTTTATGTGGTGTTTATGTTTAAAGAAAGCAAGTATTTCTTACAAAACCAAACTTGACTGCAACGACAAAGAGTCTATGCTTTAAAGGCTTATGGTACTGCCCCTGCAAAGCTATACGAAATGTTCGTGCTGTATATCACCATATCAATGTCTCGTTGTCAAGATTATAAAATAAACATAAATATGAATCTGGTATCTGCATTTCTTTCATGCTTATTGGTTAAAAAAGAGAGCCAAAGACACATTAAGTCCAAAGCAATTAGGGAGCCTTAATAACTTTACTAATTAACCTTGATATCTCCTGTCAATTGACTGTTAATTCACAATTCTAAATAGAAACAACCTATCAAATAAGCTTTATAATGAAATACAATGACAGAGTCGTCAACAATTTCCAACAAAGTTTTCCTTCTTTTTGCAAACATGTTTAACA